ATGTTCTCAATCTAGTCAGGATTTATTTTTATGGTATGGATCCATGTTGATTTTTTTTCCATCTGGATAATCAATTTTACATCACTGAACAGCTTTTTTTCTCCCAAGAATTTGCCTTGTCACCTTGGTCATATATTAATGTTCCTCATACGTATAGTTCTGTTTCTGAGCTCTCTGTTGCATGCCAGTGGTCACTTTGTCTCTATGCCAATAACATAATTGTCTTAATTAGCTTTATCATAAATCTTTGTGTCTGGCAGAACAAATCTCTTCTCCTTAGTCTTCTTTCTCAAAACAGTCTTGCATATTCTTTGCTCTTCTTTATACATTTTACAATATACATTTCCTCTTCCTCATACATTTGTCATATTTCACAAAAACAAACACATAATTTCTGCTGTGAATTTTGATTGGTGTTGCATTAAATCTATAGATCATTATGTGAATTTTGAGACTTTTAGGTTAAACCTTCCATCCCATAAACATATAATGTCATTCTTTCTATTTGGATCTTGTTTAATGTTTTTCAATAAAGTTACACAATTTTCTATGTATAGGGCTGGCATATCTTTTATTAGATTTATTTCTAGGTTCATTAAAGTTTTTGTTACTATTAAATGGTATCTTTTTAAAAATGAAATTTTCTAGTTGGTTGTTGCTAGTGAATAGAAGGCAACTGTCATTTATATCATCTTGCCAAACTCTCTCTCCTTTTCATATCTAGTAATTTGTTTGTAGAGTCCTTGCAGTTTTCTACGAAGATAATCATATCATCATACAATATTGCAATTTTATTTCTTCCCTTTCAGTGCTTTTGACTTGAATTTCTTTTTCTTGTCTTATTGTGTTGTCTGGGACATGTTGAATGGACATGGTAAAAGTGGGCATCTTTGTCTTCTTTCTGATTTTAAAAGTTACTATTCCTACTACGTATTTTACTCAAAGTTACACTCGCCTCATAAAATGAGTTAGGAAGTAATCTTTTTTTCTTTATTCTCTAGAAAGGTCTTTATAAAATTAGAATGATCTGTTCCTCAGATAGGTAGATTTGTCTGTAAAACTAGCTGGACTTGGTGTTTTCTCTGTGAGGAAAGAGTCCATTTCTGACATCCATCATACTGTTTAGCAAGCCACTAATTTTAGAAATGAAAACCTATGTGACATTCATTTCTCTAGTAAAAAGATTCTTCTATTGATCAAGATGTGTGTGTGTGTGTGTGTGTGTGTGTATAAATATATGCAGTGAAGCCTTTGTAGTAGCTGACTGTGCTGTGTGGCTTTTAGGTTAAATGTAAGCTGACCATTCTTGTGGAGCAAGTTTCTGATTAAAGAAATTAACTCCTGCTTAACCGCATACTAAACGAACACACACACCCACATGCACACACTCTCTCACACACATATTATTTTTGCAGAAACACTTTAAAGAAAATTACAGCATTTTAAAGTAAATTAATTATCTGTCTGTGGTTTTTAAAAACTCTATTTTGTGATCCCAGGCCAACTTCTTTTTGACACCAAGTTACTGTCTAATCATTTGCCTCCTGACTTGCTAAAACTTGAATACCTGGAAGGAAAAGCTCTCAGTGAAGCAGAGATTAGCTCTGTGAGAAAGAGGAAGAAAGACAGGCGTTTACAGCGGGCCTGAGCATGTTTCTTACTTCTTCTTTACGATTCAGTCCTTGGAGGAGAGATTGAACTCCTGCTCCCAAAGATAAGATCAGCTTTTTGGAGGAAATGTCAAACATTTAAGAAATCAGAGTAAAGCCTTTATTAATCATTCCTTCACTCATGTAGCAGTTACTAAATGTCTCCTATGTGCAGGGCACTATGATAGACACCAATAATATGAATAATAAATATGGAGAGTTCTTGCCCTCAAGTAGCTCACCGTCTAGACAGGGTTAAATAGATAACTAAATACGCACAGGTGTTATGGGAGGTGGAGTGGGTGTTCAAAGATAGCTTCCTGGAGGAAACAAGGCTCCAAAGTGTGAACTAAGCCTCTAGATGGTCCACAGTATATAATCGAGACTTTGTTTTCAGGAAAGAGGAAATGATGACTCTTTTCTACTATGAGATCCGAGGTGAACTGCCTAATACCCCAATCCTCTTGCTGAAGCTAACCACAAAGTTGAATAACACGTTCAAAAGTCTTCCTAGAAGCATCAAATAACTAACAAGATAGTGAAAACTTATAAGGATAAGCTCTAAGGTGAGACAGGAAACAGAGAATTAAGTCCAGCATTTCAGACTGCTTTTGCCTAGAGGGCATTTGCTTCCCTGGAAGAGGTGGCTGTGTGGCTGTGCAGCACTGTGACAGCCTTCCAGGGCCAGGAGGAGAACACTGGACTCGCGGGTTGGCCTGCAGTGAGGCCTCGTGGCGCTGGGGGCTTCCGGGGATGCATCTGGGGAGCAGCAGCAAATCTGCAGCCACCATGGCCTCAGCTGCAGCCTGCTTTCCACTCCCCTGGATTGTCCATGAGACCTTAGCTGTCACTACACTGACGTAAATTTGGATTGTTAGTGTCCTAAGACCCCAGCAAAAACCTCAGAAAGACATCTCTGGAGGAAAGTGACATCCTACTTATTTCTACAAATAATTGTAAAACTGCAACTAATGATCAACACAAAATCAAATATAACCAACCACGTGAGCATTGAGGCAAATAAATGGGAACCAGCACAAACAACAGACACTAGGAATAAACTCACAGATACGCCAGAAGGTGCAATTGCTAGGCACGAACTGTGAAATAACTACGCCTGTTAAGTTCATGGAGATGAAAGCCAAACTCTAAAAGTTCAGCGAGGAACTATACTACAAAAAGTGATGTTGCGTATTTGAAAAAGAATTGTATCTGTCTGGGTCCAAAGAGCAGACAGAAACCACACAGTAATTTAAACAAGGGAAAGTTTAATATACAGAATTATTTACTGTAATAAAGGATTAGAGTAATGAGGGATTGGCAAGTAAGAAGTGAAGAGAACTCCAAATCCTGTAGAAACAGCAGAGAAAGGAGCAATCATGAAGGGCCGGCACACAGCACCCAAGGGAGAGTCCTCTCTCACCACAGGCTGGGATTCTGACCTTCTCGAGCGGCCGTGGCCAGCTGTGGCTCACTGGATGACAGAAATCTCTGTGGTGTTGCACTGGTGGAACTTGCTGTAAATATGCCCTCTGAAATTTGCCGGAAATCTGCCCTTTAGAAGGCTGGGGAAAGCTGTTCACCATGAAGGGTCTCACTAGAGATGCTTTACTACAAAACTGCCAGGACAGGGAGTACCGAGTGCACTGCTGGAGCTGGGTGCTGGGGAAGCTGCAGGCACTGCAGCAGCCTGGCACTGGAAAAGCCTTGTGCTCTGCAGGAGTCTGCTTAGCCTGATACACTGGAGCCAGGAAGCAAAACCCTTTCTCTGCAGGGTTTCTACACCACTCTCTACTGAGAAAGCTTCCAGGTCAGCAGGGATGGGAAAAAATACTTAAAGGGACAAGATCCATTTTCAAAGAGCAGTCTAAAAGGGTGATTTTGAAGCTGAGAGGCAATAGATCGATAACCAGCACATGAAATGAGAGAAAATTTTATAATTGGAAAAATAAAATAACCAAAGTTAAGAACTCAATAGATGAGTTTAACAGTAAATTAGACACAACTGAAGAGAGAATTAGGGAACTGTAAGATAGATCAGAAGGATGAAATACGCAGAGGCAAGGGTAAGAGACATTTAAGATAGAGTTGGAAGATTCTAAATCTGCACTGTCCAATGTGGGAGCCACTAGGCACATGTGACTACTTAAATTTAAGTGAATTACAATTAAGCAAAATTTAAAAATTCATTTCCTCTATCACACTAGCCACATTTCAAATGCTCAACAGACATTTGCATATACAACACAAATGTCCAGTAGTCCCAGCACTAATAAATAACATTTCCATCATTGTAGCAGGTTCTAGTGATGGACTAAATATTGGTTTAACTGGAGTCTCATAAATAAAGAAGAAATGGAGCAGAAGCCATATTTGAGGAGGCTTGGCTGGATAATATCCAAAATGAACAAGAGACATCAAGCTACAGTTTTCAGAAGACCAACAAATCCCAACAGGGGTTTGTTGTGAATAAAAAATAAATTCATACTCAAACCTAGAAAATCTTCATGAAAACCAATGACTTAATGGTAAAGAGTTGAAATCTTTCCCTTTGATGTCAGGACCAAGATGAAGATGCCTCTTCTCACCACTTCCGTGTGACACTTCTTGCCCAGTGTGTTAAATCAAGAAAAGGAAACCAGAAGCATAAGAATTGGAAGGAAAGGGAAAAGTTTAATTGTTTGAAGACAACATTATATGTACTTAGAAAATCTAAGAGAATTTACAGCTAAATTATTAGAACTGATAAGTTGCTGAATACAACATCAGTATATAAAAATTTAACTACAATAGGTTGAAAAAATAAATTTTAAAAGGATACCACTTACAATGATATAAAAATGATAAACTACCTAAAAGGAAATCTTACAAAATATGTGTAAGTTCTCTATACAGAAACCTATAAAATATTGTCGAGAAAAACTAAAAAGAGGTAAATGGAGAGATATGCTGTTTATGAATTGGGAGACTCAGTATTATAAAGTTATCAGATCTAAACTCAATTGATGTATAGATTCAATGTGATCCCATCTCAATAGATATTTTTTGACAATCTAATTTTTAAATTTATACGGAAATACAAAGGGCCAACAACAATCGAGACTCTCCCTTGAAGAAAGGCAAAATGGAAAGGCTTGTTTTTCCAAGTATCAAGACTTAGTATAAAATTATAAAACATTAAGTCAATGCAGTTTTGGAACAGAATAGAGAACCCAGAAACAGACCCTGGAATACATGAACATTGACATTGATGAAGTGTCACTGCGAAGCAATGGGAAAAGATGCACTTTTAAACAAATGGTCCCGGAACAACTGGTCATTCATAAGGAAAAAATGAAACTCGACTCTTACCTCACACTGTGCATAAAAGGCAACCTCGGAGAGACTGCAGACCTATGTGAAAGGCAAAACAACAAAGCTTTTAGAACACAATATTGAAGAAGATCTTCATGATCTTGCACTAACACTATATTTTTAAAAAGATTGATGCATTTGCCTACATTAAAATTAAGAACTTCTGTTCATGAAAAGACACCATGAGGAGAGTAGAAAAGGCCAGCTAGAGACTGGGAAAAGATCCGCGCAACCCATGTAACTGACAAAGGGGCTTACAGCCAGAGGTTGGAAGAAGTGCTGCAAAGCAACAAGAATAGGACAGACAGCTCAACAGAAAAATTGCCAAGAGATCGACCTTTACAAAAGCAGAAATTCAGATGATCAGTAAACATATGAAACGGTGCTCGACCTCATTAGCAATTAGGGAAATGAAAACTAAAATCACAATGATGTACCTCTACCCACTCACCTGGATGGCTAAGATTTAGAAACGGACTCTTCCAGGATGTGAAGCAACTCAAAATTACATGCATCACTGGTGGGAGCAAATTGGAACGATCACTTTGGAAAATAGGCTCTGTCTCCTAAATTGAAAATACACATATCCTGTGACCCAGCGATTCTCCTCCTAGATACATAACACCACCCCCCGCCAAAATACACTCATAGGAATTAGAAGAGATGAATCTGAATGTACAGAGCAGCATTGTTTGAAATAGCCCAAGACTGGGAAGAACCCAAATGTCCACCAACAGAATGGATAAATGGTGGTATATTCATGTAAGGAATGCAATGACAATTGTACTCATTGAGAGCAATGATAATAAACTATAACCATATGCAGCAACATGGAAATGGGCTCAAGTGACAACCAAAGTAACAGGAGCCTACGCTGAGCTAGAGAACAGTCAAAGAGGCCCTCAGATGGAGGTGCCCTCAGTTCCCAGGCCCCAAACCTGCAGTCCTGTCTGTTCCGCATCCCCACTCCTTTTCTTTCTTGCAATAAAGAGGATGTTCCTTTTCCGTTTCTCCTGTGCTCTGGATCCCTTCTCATTTCTGAATCTTCAACTCAGCTTCTTGATGGTAGCCCCCTTCTTTCCCAGGGTTTCTTATCACAGTAGCTATCCGCTTACTGTTAGTCTCCCTGCTGATGTGTCAGCTCCTTCAGGGCAGCTACCTCATCTGTCTGGACCATCTCGCATGGCCAGGGCCTCAGAGGGCCAGGTCACATGGGAGAGTTCAGAGACCACAGTTGTCTGATTGATGCATGGTCCCACCTCTGCCTTGACTGGCAAGGTGACACTTAGCAATGATCTTACTCTTTTCTGGGGTCCCATCTCTTGCATATGAGTGAATTCTACCCCAGCATTCCACGATTCACTGATCTCTGGGCCCGGCCCCTCTTGACATCCTGCCCAGAGTGCTAGGGCATGGATGAAAAGGGACACATTCTCCCCACCCTCCTTCCGGCATCCTCTCTCTCAGAGGAGGCGCTGAGAAGCTCTGAAACAGACAGGCGAAGCAGAGCAAGCTGAATCTAACGGTGGGTCTGCTATGTGCCGGGGTCTGTGATAGGCTTTCCGTACTTTTTCCCTGTATTTAAAGAATAATTTAATTCTCAAAAACAACCCTTTGAAGTGGTTATCCTTATCCCTTTTTTTACAGGTGAGTAAACTGAAGTTTGGAAAAGGTGAGTAATTTGCACAAGGTCACCAGAGAGTGTGGCAGACCTGAGAATGGAATGAAGCAGGGTTCCTGCCCTTCCTCTTGTCCTGTCGCCTCCTGGGTCTGGTGAGAAGGTGTAGAACAAGCAGAAAGAGCATCAACTGTGACATCAGCTTCTATCCTGAGTTTGGAACTGACTTCTACCTCCTGTGAGGCCTTGAGCAGATTCAGAGCGTCAGGTTCCTCACCTGTAAATTAGGCAATTGGGACAATACGGCCCCAGCCCGGCTGGTATTAACATGGCCTTAGGAAGGATGGTTGAGGACTGCTGTGGGGCAGGATTCCCAGGGCGCAGAGCGCAGGTGCATTTCAGCCCCTGCCCTGTCCTTTCTCCAAGTCTGAGAGGGGCCAGAATATTGGACGCCTGAGAGGCAGCTGGTTAATGAAGAAGGACACTCCCCTCACTGCCACCTGCACTGAAACTCCGGGGGAGGATGAGAGAGTCCATGGGTCTAAGCAGCCACCACTTGATGTGTGTGATGTGTTAGCTGCAGGACATTCCTACAGTGGGCACTACAGAAACCCCCTCCTCTGACCCTGGGGGCCCATTTCTTTCTCCTCAGGTTCTACCTTCAGCAATAGCTGTCTCTTGAGTCTTGCTCAGATGGTTTGGTTCAGAAGAGGCTGAAGGTTTCCTAAGGTCTCTGTCACCTTGCCTCTATTCTTACCGCCTTTGAGTTGTAATCTCTTCACAGACTGTTGCTATGGCCTCTTACCAGCCTCCTTGCCCGATCTCTAATACTGCCCTCTCAGCCTCTTCAGAGCAGAATCCTGCTCGTTCTTCAAAGCTCAACCGCGACGCCATCTTCCCCAATCTTCTCAATCCACGTTACAAGCTCTTCACCAGAAATCCTGCCGTGCCCTTTCTCTGCCTTTATGATGGCGTTTGTATCACAGTTCTGTGGCTCTCTCCATCTCCACACAGTTGATGGTAAACTCCTTAAGGGCATTGTCTGTCTCCTCCAATGCCTGGCCCTCACTAAATGTGTGAGTGAGTGAATAAATGAATGACTAAAGAATTAGTACCTCTTTCGGTGGTCTTAATTCCTCTTCTCTACTATGGAGCAACTTTAAACTGCATTGAAGCATCTCTTCCTGCTCTTTGCTCCTTTCTCTCGACTTTTCCACTGACCACTCTGCTCCTTTCCACTCCGCTTCTTCCTTCTCACAGTCCAATGCACCACACAGAGTGAGGGGCTCCCGCCAGGGATGCTGTGGAGATGGCTGAGTGACATGCATGGGAGCTTCCCAAATCCTGCAGTTGGTCTACAGCTCCTCAGACCTCCTGGCGCGGAGTGCCTGGGACCACATTTAGTCTCCAGATCTGGAACGCATTTACTCTTAAGAATGCGGCACCCGCCTTCTCCTCCTGGATTTTAGGGAAGATCTTGGGGAGCTTCTCTTTTCTCCTATTTGGTCCTTCATTTCTCCAATCGGAAGGTGCAACATGGGGTGAACAAAGATACACCCTGGTCTCTGAGGACCTGCACGTAAGGGGGCACCCAGCACACTGGGCCTCTGCTCAGGCCACGAATGTCCTCGGGACACTTCCTGACTGGGGTTCTCTTCCTTTCCCTCACTCTCCACCCCAGTTTTGAAAGAGACATGCTTGGCTAGAAAGACTTGCTTTGAGGCTGAATTATGGGAGCTCCCTGGCAGTGACAGGCTGGCTGTGGTCACTGCAGGCTCCTACAAGTTGTAAAAGTTGCCAGTAAGGGCTCAGGGAGAGTCAGGGAAGGAAGCATGTTCTTTTCCAAGGAGGGAGTGCTAGGGGTGTCTAATGACCGCAGAGCATTTCCTGAAACCATCTTCATTCTCTAATTCATGGGGTTGGGGGCTGACTCCAAGCACCCCAAGGGCCTCGGCCCCCAGCCCTGCTCTACTCAGAGTCTAGCAGCATCTGTGAGTCTCTGCGTCTTGACAGAAGGAGGGAGCCTAAACCCAGGGCATCAGCCTCTATCCTGGGCTCCAGGCCACAGCCTTACCCTTAATTTCACTCTTGCCGGTCCTTCCTTCCATCAGGGTCTTCCCACAGGTTAGACTCTATTTACCCAGCTGAAGCCCCTATGTCTGCCTGATTCTCCTTTATTTCACAAACCTTCTTAGTCTCCCCAGGGAGTGCTCATTTCAATTCAACAAACATTCCTTGTACTTCCCAGACAGTTGTGGTCTCTGCCTTCAAGGAGCCTTTAACTTTGCAGTGAAAAGAAGACACTTCTACAAAAAGTAAAATGTAGAATGTGGTGAGTGTTTCAGCAGACGGAGAAGCAAAGTTCTACTGGAGCCAAGGGGAGGAGCTTAGTTCCAAAAGAGCAGAATGAAGAAGGGAAGGGCGGGCCTGGGAAGGCTTCCTGGAGGAGGTGCCTTGAGCGGGGCTTGAAGGATGGGATGGGAAGATGGCTGGAGGAGGACACTGGACAAAGGGAGGGCATGCCTGGGGAATCGCCAGCATACCACCATGGCTCAAGTACAAGTTGAGAGAGAAAGAGAGAGAGAGAGAGGAAGATTAGAAAAGAAAGTTGGAACGATGTCATTGAGAGTCTTGATGCCAAGCTCAAGAGCTGAAAGTTTTGTAGAAAAAGGGGAGCCAGAGAAGAATTTTGAGTCAAGAAATGCCCAAGTCTCAATCTGGGGACCATTCTTATCCCCAGTCAGTCACCAAATCTACGCCCATAACCCTTCAGAGTCCACCCCAGTCTCTCCTCCCTAGGGTCACCCATGGCCTTTGTTCGTGCCGCTGTCTTCTCCCACCTGGATTTACGCAGCAGTGCCCTCACTCGCCTTCCGGTCCTCGGGCTCCCCTCCACTGTGCTGCACTCCTCACCTCGCTCCTCCTCAGCTGCAGGCTTGGTCTTCATCAAAGTGCAGTCCGGTTGGGTCAGCGTCCCGCTTTGAGACTTTCAAGAGCTTCCTGTGTCCCTCCGGATAAAGCCAAAATTCCTTTCACATTACACACCTGTCCCTTCCTGCCTCTTGCCATCCCTGCCACCACACTGAACCATCTCTAATTCTGCGGTCCCCAGCTGTCCCTTCCTGCCTCTTGCCATCCCTGCCACCACATTGAACCATCTCTAATTCTGCGGTCCCCTTCTCAACGGGAATGCCCCCTCCACTCATCACCTGGCTTGACTCTACAGGTCAGTAGGTCAAGGTTCAGCTTGGGCGTCCTTCTCCCAGAGAGCCGGCTCTGACTCCTACCCCATCCTCTGGCTTCTTCTGCTCCCAGGCTTCCTGTGGTTTTAGCACTTATCCCACAGTGTTGACATGATCTGTGGATTTATTTTCCCCTGCTTTCAGTTTTATTATAGGATCTGTGTTCCCACAGAGCAGGTACTTGGGGCTCAAAAAAAAGCAGTCCTCAAAAGGATGAATAAACGTTCACTTCCTCTCCTGACTAACTGACTTCTGGCCTGCACTGCCCCCACGCCCTCGGGACAAATTGCTTGCTCCTGTTTCTTCTTCTCTTCTTCTTGCCACTGTCGTTTTGTCCCTAATTCTGTCCGAGATGGTGCGTGCCGTGCAGTAGGAAGACAAAGTTGTATACAAAGTTGTTTACAAGCAAGAGCTATGTGAAAAGCCTGGAGTGAAACACCCAAAGGTCACCAGCAGTGGCCTCTAGGGCGTAGACAAGAGATGATATTTATTCTTTTCATTTTTCTTTAATTTAGTAAATTTACTCTATTTCGTAATGGGGAAAATACATTCTTTCCTTTCTTCTTTCTTTTTCTTTTTTCTTTTTTTTTTTTAAGAGAGACAGAGCACCAGGCCAAGACTGAAAGAGCTTGGTTTCAGTCAGAATAGCAGAATAGGGTGTATAGGAAACCATCATCCAGCTAAAAAGGGAAAAGCAGAAAACCACATATTTATAAAATCTCTCTGGAAGGACATATAATAAATGGACAACATCAATCACCTCGTTGGAGGGGAGCCAGGAGGCTGGGGCCTGAGGAGGCAGAATTTTCACCTAAGCAGGTTTTGGATTTTGAACCTTGTGAATGTATTACTCATGTAAAAAATAAAGTGTAATTAAAAAGAGCTGAGCTTGAATTTTAACCCACTGGATAACTTAGGAAACCCACTTTCCCCAGGTGTAAAATGCAGAGAACGGTCGCGACTTCACAGGGCTGTTCCCAGGAGTGAATGATGTAGGAGCGCGGGTGACATGGGGACACTTGGAGGTGCCACTCCACGGTGAGGACTGGCCACCCGACCCCCCTAGCCCTCCCTCCTTCTCACCCCTTCTCTCCCCCAAATGAAGTCATCAAGGCCAAACTCTGTGTCCGCCAACACATCCCCCTGGCATTGCCTCGCTTGGCTCCCTGCCTGTTGGAACACAGCTGCTGGCGTGAGGGAAAGGCCGTCCTTCGAGGATCTGGGCATCGCAACGCAGCCAAACGGCCTTTCGTCTCCTCGCCTCTCAGCTTGCCAGCTCGCTCCACGCTTGGAAATATTTGGGGTCAGCACTCCAGTTTTCACCCATAGCAGACTCATTTTGTTTCATGACCGCTTCCTTATAATAGGTCTGGGAAAAGCTGCTCTGGGCCTGGTCCCAAACCCTGTTCCTGGCATGGGGAGCCCCAGTCAAGATGGTGGCTTTGGGTAGAGATCATAAAGGAGGGCGAAATCTCCTGCGACTTACCAGGATGTGGTCTGGAGAAAAGGACCGTTTGCGTTGAGTTTCTAAAGGGCTGTCATCACCATGACCTTCAAGCTGTTTGAGGCAGGAGAGGGAGCTTACTTTACCACGTTTCTGCCTGTTCCCACATTCCTGCTTCTCTCTGCAGCCCTGTGGATCTTTCCTCCTTCGTGGGGGTCTTTATTGAGAGCTGATGAGGAGTGTGATGCTGAAGGTGGGACCTTCTCTGTTGCCTGGGATAGGACTGCCAGCCAGCTCTGGCAAATAAAAATGCAGGACACCCAATTAAATAAAAATTCCAGATAAGCAAATAAATACTTTTTTAGTGTAAGTATGTCCTATGCAATATTCGGATCATAGTGACATTAAAAATTATTCATTGTTTTAGTCTAGTATGCTCCATGTAGTATCTGCATACTTATACTAAAAATTACTCACTGTCGATCTGAAATTCAGGTTTGACTGGTGTCCTGTGTTGTATCTGGCAGCCCTGCCTGTGACGGTCGCCGGAGGAGCCTGTCAGCTCCACAGAGGAGCTGGCCTGGTCCTCTTTCTTTAAGCCAGCCGTCCACCTCTGGGCCACAAGATAAGAACCGAGAAGGGCAAGGCCCCAGCAGGCCTGCTTTGTCCCCTGCAGCTCCGGGCTGCGCCCTCTCCTCCCACCCGGCCCGCGTGGCCGCGGGCTGTCTTCCGCGTCTGCTCTAAGGACCGCTCCACCTGATCCGGGCAGCCCTGGGAGCCCTCGACTCGGGCTGTCACCAGACTCGTCCTGTCCTTTAAGACGGGTCCACCTGCTGCCTCCCCGTCGGGAGCCAGCTCAAGGGGAAGGCGGTCAAACAGCACCAGTCCGAGGCCCGCTGCCCGCTAAGCCCGCGCTGTCGGCCGGACCCCGGCGTCCGGGGGCGGTGTAGACGAGGGCCGCGCGGGTCCGTCCCCGGCGCCCGGCTGGGAACCCCCGAGGGAGGTGGGCCGGCGTCCTCAGAGAGAGCTGTGTCGTCTGACAAAACGGGATTCAAAGTCACTTATGAGCCACTCATGACGCCAGAGGCCCTGCTGGCTCCGGAGCCCAGGCGCTCGGTGACCCGCGGCCGGGTGCGGCCCCTGCTACTCGCGGCCAGGACGCCCCTCCGGAGACGCGGCCTGCACCACGCTCCGCTCTGCTCGCAGCCAGAGGACACGAATGCCAAATCCGCCGCGGCTTGCGGGGCTGCTGCGACGGAGCGCCGCGAACCCACGGTCGCGGCTCCGGGGGCTGCAGTCCTGCCCCAGGCTCGGCCAGCCGCGCCCGCAGGACCCTCCCGGCGTCCGCGGCCGTCTTTGCTGCTCCTCGGCTTGGAGACGTGTCGCTCCAGGCCTCCCTCCCTGTGTCTCCCTGTGTCCCGTGGGCCCGATGCTGCCCATGTCCGTGGATTTTAACAAAAATTGATCGGTTGCTGGTAAATAAAAATCAGAAAACTTTACACAAAACCCCGGATTTCTGTAGGCCTTTGTCATTGTGACCGCAGTTTAGGCTTTGCTAGAGAGCTGGTGACAGTCTTGTCACGCACAGGAGTGTGAACGAGTTTGTCGTATCCTTTTCGGAGAAAAAGCACAGAAATAGGGGAGGAACCAGGCTCCGGGCGGCCCGGGGCGGGGGCGCAGCCGCCTGCAGCGCGGGACCCGCCTCTGACCTGGGCCCAGCCTCGCAACAGGTCCCTCCCTCCCCGGCAATTTATCAGTCACCAGAAGAGCATCTTCAAGAGAGATTTTTGGAGACTTTCCGAAGCCCATACGAATTTTGTCTGAGAAAGTGTCCGTTGCGATTCCTATTTCCATCTGGTTTCGCACGGTTTCTGACTATCCTCACCCTGCAGGTTAATTAGAGTTCTAAGTTTCGGTAACGCTTCTCACGTGCTCAGTTTTTGTACTACTCAGAGCTTTTGCTGAGAAGAGTTCCACAAACCGCTATTTTCCTGTTCATCCAGCTGAGTGTGCAGGAACTGCTTCACGTTCTTGCTCCAAGGCAACATCAAAGTTAAAATTCCACTTAGTTTACCGAAAAGTTTGATTTTTCTGGTTAAGAGTTATCACTTTCTTAATTTTTTTTTTTACTTCCACCGCTGACACATAGCATTTGGCTTTTTTAGGGCTATTTTCTACAAAGCTACTAGTCTTTTTTAAAAAATTGAGTATGATATATACATAAACTAAAGGTTATACTCTCTTCAAGAGAGTTGGAATGATAAAAATACACTGTTTCCGGGCCGGCCCCGTGGCCGAGTGATGAAATTCGCGCACTCCGCTGCGGGCGGCCCAGTGTTGCGTCGGTTCCAAACCTCGGCACGGACATGGCACCACTCATCGAGCCACGCTGAGGCGGCGTCCCACATGCCACAACTAGAAGGACCCACAACTAAGAATATACAACTATGTACCGGGGGCTTTGAGGAGAAAAAGGAAAAAAAATAAAATCTTTGAAAAAAAATACACTGTTTCCACTGCTGGGTGCCCAGCATGGCAGGGTTCCTGGGAGTCCCAAAGATCTGGGTGTCTGATGTGTGAGATGCACTCAGATGACCCTCTGAGGAAGACATTGCAGTCACCCACGTGCTGGAGGTGGGATGGTCAGAACCCAGAGCCCAACGAACCTGCCCAAGGTCACTCAGTGGCAAAGCAAGGCCTTGAACTCAGTCTCCTCTCACAGCCGGGCTCAAGTCCCCATAGCCACGCGCACACCTCCCCCTCAGGGAAGTCTGGGAGGAAGCACCACGCTCTTTTGTGGGGAAGGTGGGGAAGGTGGTGGGGTTAAGGAAACACACCTTTTACTTCATTTGCTCATATATTATTTGACTTTGATCCAGTGCCAATTTATTTCCCTGGTAATTTTGAAGAAGCAATAAAATATTAAAATCAATCAATAAATCAATAAAAATAAATATTTGAAGCCTAAAAGAAAATAAAAGAAATGGAGGCTCAGCAAAACCACATTATTCCGTGTCACTGACTTGTCTAATCTCTGGAGAGTAGTTGAAACTACCGCTATAAATCAATGAATGTTGAGAGCCTGCAGTGTTAGCTTAGCTGCCATCATTTTGTTTGAACAAATCCAGTTCTACATTTGTCTCATGAGTATTACTGCTTACCTTATGACTTTTTGGTGTATTACACATATACGTATGCATAGATGAAAGATGGCAGGCCACTTCAGAACACTGGAACGGTGTCCTCATTGCACATTTTACCGTTGACATCTTGGGCAAATTGCATAAACATTCTCATCCTGGGTACACATTGCTGGCACATTTGGAAACAGGAGCAACAGATCTTTTTTTTTTGCTTAGAATACTAAACAACTGAAAAACAATTAGAAATAAAAGCTTATATGAAAAGGGAAACATAAAGACATAAAGTACATTGCTTAACTCAACAGTAAATATTTGCAGTTAATATAAGAAGGACCATTCATGTATAAATATATTTGGAGAATGAAAGAGGGAAAATAGGAGTAGATTGTTATGTTAAGTTCACAAAATCCTGTGAAAACATTGGATCTAAAATTAACATGTAGCAGAAGCATCAGCTAAAATGGTTCCCAGTGTTGCCATTGGGAGCCGGGCTTAGGGTGGGGCTGCTGTTTTTCTTTATAAACCCATAATCCTTTATTGTCAGGGCTCTTAGTGGAGACAACTGAATCCACTCTAGCATTTTTCATAAGACAGGAGTTTATTAAGGAATAGCTATGGCTCCAGGAATCCCGGGGATGTCTGAAGCGGGAGACTCTAGGCTGTATTTCCACAGTGGCTACCAGGACTGGACTGCTGACTTGGCCACTGAGGCAGCCATGGCCTCTACCATGACCAGGGGCTGCCACTCAGATGCCCACCACCCCAGCTGTCAGCGGCAGGTCACACCCTGTGCCCACAAAATGCAGGCCCCACATCTTGCCTCCTTCCCCATGAGCTCAGTTCCAAGTCAAAGGTGTGAAAGGTCCAGGTGACAGGCAGAGCCCTCGTCACCTGTCCCTGAAGGGTGCTGGGAACGTCGAAGTTTAAATGCTCTGTTGGGAAGGTGGGTTTACCTGGTGTGGAACTGTTCAAATGAATTTTCTTTTTTGAAGCCAAGTATACATATTACTTTGATGCAAATAAAAAACAAGAGAGCTTTG